TCAAAGAGAGAAAAAGACAAACCAGATGATCTCCCTCATGATGGTCTATTAAGAAACAGTAAGGAAAGAGAATGTTCACAGAAGACAAACCACTGGACTCTGACCACAAATCTGTGCTCATCAGTCCTGTCCTGAAAGCCTGCATCCTGAAATCATGTAATTATTTGTGGTCTTGTAAATCATTATTATCTACGTGACTTTTTTCAACTGACCTGTACATGTGTTGCATGTGGGAGGCCCAGTTTGGTCCCCAGCACCAGAGTAGTCAAGAAGCATTGCAAGGTGTGGTCCCCAAGTGGAACCAAGAAGGCGGACTTTGAGGACAGAATAGGTAGGGCACTTGCCATGCATGCAGCCCACCCAGGTTTAATCCCCCCGCACTGTAAGTGGTCCCCTGAGCCCTGTCAGGAATAATCTCCAAGCAGAGAAGTAGGAGCAAGGCCTAAGTACCACAGGACTTACTCCTGGACCAACACCACCCCTGAAAATAAAAAAGGCTGACTTTATAAATCACTGGAAAAGAGGTTCAAATATACTCACTTGGTAGGAACATCAGAAGTAAAGAAACAAATGGTAGAAATCAACTGTATTTCAGAAGGAAGGGAGAAGGCCCAACCGCGGAATGAACACCTCCAGTCCTTCCTACTCCTCATCTGGTTGATTCCCCACTCAGATGATATTATCTTCAAGAATTAGCTTCGAGTCCCCCAGTACGTGTCAACACATCCTCTTTGCCTGCTCTGCCACTCACACTCAGAGGCAGCTGGAAAAGCTAAAAGATCCTAGAGTGGTTCAGAAATAAGATTTCACATGGAAATAAAACAGCTCTCACTTCCTACATTCACATACTGTCTCCTGCCATATATTTCCAGGAATTCTCTTTTAAAGAATGTGGGCTCCAATGACCTCCCTAATAAACTCACACAAAGCAAACTCAGCTAACTCCCACTGGACCAAAAGCTGAATGAACTCAACCAATAAATTACTTCGAAGGCCATGAGCTTCCTGTGTCAGTCTTGCTAAAATCAGCTGGGACACACCCCAGAGGGGGTCAGTTAGCCCAGGGTCCACCCAAACAAAGCCCAGGTAGCCAACAGCTCCCAAATTCCAAAATCGCCACCATGCCCCCAGACGGATTCCACTGCCTCAGGTCAGGACTGAGCCTCACTCAGAAATTAATCTGCTAAAAAAAACCAGTATGTGGGGTTTGTGACTACAATCTCCAGGCTTTTCTCAGAGTTGGAATGGGCTCCTCCTACTTCCCAGTACTTTCAAAAGTCCTGGCATGAATGCCCACAACCCAAAGCCACCACCCAGTTATAAATTTAACTCCAGATGTAAAACACCCTTAAAAATTCTGGACTTCTTGAGCATGTGTCCAAAGCCACATGACATCTCAATCTCTACAACACTAATAACCCAGGAGTAGCACACCAGATTGGATGGGATGTAATGTTCAAGACAAGCAATCTCAACAAAATATCAGCACATAAGAATTAACCTATAACAACATCGTAATAATCCCTCATACAATGACTTAATGTCTCCACGGTGATAAACAACAATTTACACTAATTTTCTTCTAAGGAAACATTTTTTGATCACGCTGTTAGCAAAGTTATTGATAAAAAGCAATATAAAATAAATAACTGAGGGCCCACTATGGGGGCAGGCTTAAGGGCTTTTTGGGAAAATTGGAGACAGTGGTGGAAGGAAGGTGTAATGCTGATGGAATTGTTGAATACATATTGAATGCTTGTAACAAATCATCATGAACAACTTTGTAAACCACTGTTTATATAAAGTGTAGGGGGAAAAGTAGGCTTTACCTGTTCCATGTAAATTCTAAAATATCTTAATATAGAATTGCTTTTTAAAAAATCAGCTGGGAGACCAAATGAAAACACTGATATTCATACACAGAATAGACAAAATTTGTGGGGAGGGCACACAGGTGATATTATTTTTTTAAAACTTGACACCTATCCTAATACAAACCAGATGGAATCCACTGCAGTGATGGAAAAAACTCAGCGAGCATCACTGCCCACCTCGGGATATGTGAAGAGCTTGCCTACAAGATAGTAAGAGTATTGATCTTGAAAGCATCTAAGAAATCCTCACAAGGCATTCTGGCCATCTATTCCGAACAGAAGACAAGAAGCGCCTCCCAGTTCACCCTCTTTCTGGAGTACTCAGTCCTCAGGAACTTTTCCTCCTTCCAGGCGATTCACTCTGCTCTTCCGAGCCACCTTTATTTGATACCTGAAGAAGACTTCTTCCAGGTAGGCCAGCCTCCTCCACCAAAGCGCCAGAGGACTGGCAGCACCACCTCGTAGGGGGCAGATGAGCCAGGGAAGAAGTGACTGACACAGCTGGCAGGGCGCTTATTGTCTCTGGGAACTTAAGTATCTCATTTTTATCAACATCACATGCTGGGGCACTGCATGTGTTCATAGCAGCAGAAGTCTACGTTCAGCCGAGCACAGCACTGACCTATTAAAAATAGGAAGAGAGGCTCGACTGAAAGATTCCACCATTCTAAAGGACATCCAAACATAAAGGTACCAGATGTCAACTCTCACTCACAATGTTCCAATCTCCTTATTTCCCTGAAATATAAGTGATTTGCACTTGAACATTGTGGGAAATGGAGGTCTGAGGATTATGGGTAATCAAGCTTCTAGCTTTGGTTTCCTGATCGAGGGGGCCACCATCACACTCCAGCCCAGACCCACTGGCGGGCTGGCAGACACAGGCTCTCAGAGACTGGCTCCTACATTTTCCTTATCTGCTGGGCAACAAAACCTCATCCCAACTCGTCCCTTACCACCTCCTCTACCAGGCCTCCGGTGCACACTCTCCTCAGAGGCCATGGACACAGGGTGGCCCTTGCCCCAGCATCTACCCCATTGATGTATTAGCAATCGTTTCTCATCCTCTTGTGCCATAAAAGCAGTCATTGTTTTCGAACATCAGTAACTGCATGCATACCCTTTAAACTATGGGCTATTATACTCCAGTGACTGAAGCATCACATAAATCTTTAATTCAACAGCTTCCCTTCGTCACACAAGAAGCCAAGTCTAATCAACATGATCAGAACATGCCCACACAATTCTAGACCCTAGCACTGCATATGGTTCCCTAACCAGTAACAGGAATGCTCCCTGAGACCAGAGTCAAGAGTAAATCCTGAGCACTGCCAGGAGTGCCCCAAAACCAATAAAGAAATAAATGTCTACAATAAAGAAATCATGGTAGAGGAGCGAGTGGCTTAAACACAATCCTGGATAATTAAAGCATTTTCTTTCATTTTATCTATAGGGTGAGTGACAGCTATTTTAACTCAGAACCCTACTATGACAATGCAAATCAAATAATTCATATCATTAACATGCATGGACTATACAGTATATGTAATTCATCTACAACATTGTCAACCTTGTTCCAGCCTTAAAAAGTAATTCACCCCCAGCCAGCTTCTCCCTTACTTTGGCACATGTTTCACCAAATGCTACTGACTCTATTACGAACATAAACCTCCTGCAGCAACAACAGTCCCTAACTGACCTGCGCTTCTCACTGCTGGCCATGCTGCAATTTCTGCTAGCGGAAGGCATCACCTTTATTGGACTGCAGTGAAAACCGTCCCTCTCTTGTTGGGAGAAGAAACCCAACCGCACACATAGGGCCCAGTGATGGTGTGCTCAGGGGCCTACGGGCTCTACACATCTGCATTCAGGGTCATACGGTGTTTCTGAAACACAGAAACAGAGTGGGACTAATACAGGGCCAGGAAGCCACCTGAACAGCTAATTGAAAAGACACAAGTGAAAGTGTAACAATGTGGGGATCAGGTCAATGATGAAGTATATGAAGGGAGAAGCCTGTCATACTGGTAATTGCCATTCTTGTTGACAGCAGACCAAAGTGACTGTGGTTGGTTGACAGGGTCAAAATAAATTTTTTAAAACGGCCTCGCAGAAAAATACTACTTTGTGAAGACACTGCAAAAATCAACGACCTATGATTGTCTTAAGCAGACCCTACCGTGCTCACACAGGACTAGTGATTACTGGGGCCAAAGAGACGGTACAGCAGATAGAATGCTTGCCTTGCATAGGGCCAACCTGGGTTTGATCCCCAGCACCCCAAATGGTACCCCGAGTCTGACAGGCAGTAACCCCTGACAGCAGAGCCGGGAGTCAGCCCTGAGCACTGGCCAGGTGTGACCCCAAAACAAAAAACACCAGGTAACAAACAATAATAATAATAATACTGTACTTTGTAAACCTCTAAATGTCTCACACCCTCCCGTTCTTGATCATTCTCACGCAGCACTGTAGCACAGTCCTCCCGCTGTTCGTCGATGTGCTCGAGCGGGCGTCAGTAACGCCTCACAACGAACTGGGGGGCTTGTTACTGTTTGGGGCACAGCGAAGAGGTCGCGTATCTCAGAGACGACTGGAAAGCTGTTTTTGCACAGGATTTAATGTGATCACAGATGCGGCACGCCGACAGGAGCGAACAGCGAGGCCCGAGGACCTGCAGCTTCAGGACGCGCTCGCCGCCAGGGGCGTGGGGGCGAAGCCCACACCCACCCGCGCCAGACAACCCCGGGACCCGAGCGACAAGGGTGAGCCCGAGCGACAAGGATGAGCCCCGGAGGCAAGTTCATTCCCGGAACTCGACCGCCCCAGGGCCCGCCCCTGCTCTGAAACGGCTTTCCCCCCACCCCCTGGCCCCTGCCCCGCACGCTGGCTCTTCGGGGTGTCCTCTTGGCTTCGGGATGCCAAAGACAGCGCTCCTCAGACAACGCCACCCTCTCGGGTCCGAGCAGACCATCCTCTAAGAAGCCGTTTTCGGGGCGTTCCTGCCCGCCGTCGGATCTGGAGTTCTCCCCGCTGCAGGCGAAACGACCCAGCGCCCAGCTGAGGCCCAAGGAGCCCGCTCAGGCCCTCCCCACAGCACGAGCCCCGGGGCTGCCGGACCCTCACCTGCGGGCGCGGCCCCATCCGACACCGCGGCTCCGGGGCCCTGGGGCCGGGCGCGGAGAGCCGGGCGCCCGCACCCCCCGAGTCCCGACGCGCCGCGGCGCCTGCTCCACGCGCACGACGCCGGAAGCCCGCTCGCGCCCGGATCTCGCGGCACTTCCGCGCAGTCGCGCTCACGGCGCTAAACGGACAGTGCCCGGAAGAGGCGTCCGGGGCGGGGCGGGGCGGGGCGGGGCGGGGCCGGACCCTGGACTCTGACTGGGTACCTTGGCCGTCGGTGGGCGGGGCGGGGGCAGGGTCTGGGCCCTGACTGGGTACAGAACAGGGCCGGCTGGGGGCAGGGGCGGGGCGAGGGCGGGCCCTGGGTCCTGACTGGGTACAGAGTGGGGCGAGGGCGGGGCCTGGGCCCTAACTGGTTACGGGATGGGGCTGGCGGGGGCGTGGCCTTGGCCATGATTGGGCACAGAGCAGGGGCGGGGGCGAGGAGCGGGCGGGGCCTGGGCCCTGATTGGACACGGCGGGGGCGGGGCTTGGGTCCTGACTGGGTACAGAGCAGGACCGGTCGGGGACAGGGCGAGGGCGGGGCCTGGACCCTGACTGGGTAGGGGGTCAGGGGCGGGGCGGAGGCGGGACCTTGGCCATGATTGGGCAAAGAGCGGGGCCTGGGCGAGGCCTGGGCCCTAACTGGTTACGGGATGAGGGCTGGCGGGGGCGGGGCCTTGGCCATGATTGGGCACAGAGCAGGGCCGGGGCGAGGTGAGGGGGGAGCCTGGGCTCTGATTGGACACGGGGCGGGGCCTGGGCCCTGACTAAGTACAGAGCGGGGGCGGGGCGGGGCGGGGCCTGGGCCCTGATTGGGTACAGCTAACGGGTTTTGCTCTAATGCTTGTCTGTGCCAGGTGTCATCAGGGTATGAAATTCCGGCACCCAGTGCTTGGGGCATCGCCCTCCTAAGCCAGGGTTTCAGGGAACGTCCCGACGGGTCCGGTGATAACTGCATAACTACGCTCATCTCTGCAGGCTCTCGGCGTCTTCACGCTCCCTCTCCGACTCTGCAGCGGATTTCTCCGGCCTCCGCGAGCATTTAGATGGAGCTGGGAAAGTCCAATTAGTCCTGTCTCCAGAGCCCCCCCACTGATGCCCAACGGAATGAAGAGCTCTCCTGGCTGCCAACAGCTGTCACTGCACTTTTAAAGAACGTAACTAAAATCTATCAATGTGGCAAGACGGTGATTAGTACCGCTTGCATTTGAGACCGCATTTCAGAAGTCAGCCCCAAAGTCTGGACGTTAATGTCTGACACACACACACACACACACACACACACACACACACACACACTCCTCTTCAACATATGCTGACAAGGAGTTTGCTTGTCAGCTGTAGGGTCATTTCATTTTTCATTTCATCATCCTGTTATTCGTCAATTGCCTCGAGCAGGCCCCAGTAACGTCTCTTTCATCCTAGCCCTGAGATTATATTCAAGGCTCTTTAGGAGAATGAGAACCATCATTGTTACTGGTATTTGGCATATTTGGTACGCCACGGGGAGTTCGCCAGACTCTGCCCTGTGGGCAGGCTACATTCGATAGGCTGCCAGTTTGTCCAAAGTAGGAATGAGATAATAAGATGTCATAAAAAGATGTCCTGAGAAGATGTCCGGGAGCTGGATTTTATAGTCTCTGAGTGTTGGCCGCTGATGGGATTACACGGTGCCAGGGGGCCAGGTGGTGGGTGTGACCCCCGCCTACTGGAATTTGGAGGATCTGGGTGGAGGATGCTCGACTCCAATCCGAGTAGGCTTAGAGATCTCGGCCCCGGAACCCGCATGGCTTTGTCCCTCTGCCAGTACCTTCATGTGTGCGGAGAGAGGTCTCGGCATGGTGGTGGCTGGTCCTGGAGGTCTTCGGCTGCCGGAGCCCTGGTCGGGGCGGGGAGGAAAGCTCAACCCGCTCCCCTCCAAGGCACCCCGGCGAGGAACAGCCAGACGCAGGGGCAGGAGAGCTGTAGGGGCAGCAGAGGTAATTTCATTTTTACTCAGATCAAGTCTCTGGTGTTGTTTGATCATAATCCAGGATATTTTTCAAGTGAGATTTGTGTATTTGTTGGGATCCTGAAACAATAGGAATGTTGGTGGGCCCAAGGGTGGCTTATGTGAAGCAGGGAGTAGAAAGACAGTCACTTTCTTCCCATCCACCTCTGCCACCGGGGACCCTGGGTTACTAGGCTCTTGTCTCACCTTGCAGAAAAGACTTTTAGGAGTAAACGAGCAGTGAAGTGAAACATTTTATTTGGAAGTTTTGAAGGGGAGGAGGAAGAGAAAATGGGATATAGTGCAGAGTAACATGCACAAGAGAGAATCCGGGCTTCTCGAAGAGCGGAGAGAGCCCTACACACATCCCAGCATTAGACATGAAAGCTTGAAAGTACACATCTCAAGAGGAGAGATGTGGGTGACACATTGCTCAGCCACGTAGGTACAAGCAGCACATGGGCTCGGGCAGCATATGCGAACCCTTTCTTTGTTCAAGGTGGCTTTTATAGGGTTTTTGCAGTCTGTCCCCATGTGGGCCGTCTACCTAGATAAGAGTCCATTGTTGCTAAGTGGGTAGAATTAGGTGAAACTCCTTTTGAAGCTCCTTTTCTTGACCTTTGGTCCTGCTGAATCTTCTCTTGGAGGATGGGTGCAGCCTTTTCTGGTCTGAGCTAGCTGAGGGTCAATCAAATTAAAGGAAGGAATTGAGGGTTCTCCAGTAATTTCCTTCAGACCATTTCCGTAGGGAGGGATCCAGTCTCCTCGTGGTCTGTTGCTGGAGAAGATGTTATCCAGGTCTTGCTTTCTGTATCCACAAAGCAGGTCAGCCTTAGAACTTTCCTTCCCAGTGTTAGAACCAAAGTATAGCCATTTTAGTTGTTAGTAAAAATTTTTGCTATTCTCTAAGATTATGTAACTGACAGCTGATCTGGGCATGTACCTGAGACCAAATCTTGGGAAAGGGAACAGAATGAACAAAATTTACAATGCTTGCAGACAGTGTCAGCTAATCAGTAAAAAGAAGAAATCTAGTGGTCAGCCAGGCATGGAAAGACTAGAAGAAAGGGGCACCCATTGATTGGTACTAATCAATCAGCAAGTAATAGGCAGTGGAAAGTCCCTTAGACTATAGCCAGCAGAAAGCCCCCCGTTATGTAATGCTGGAAGATGAAAACTCTGTGCTTTTCTGACTCAAGGCCGCTTGCCCTGAGGAATCTGCTGCTGTGTTGGTGAGCCAGACAGGGGCCCTAGCTCGAGCTAGGCAATAAAGACCCTTTGCTTGTTGCAACTTGTCTTCATGTGATTCCTCTGGGAATATTTCCATCTGGTTTAACACCAGAAATTTCATTGTCAACACGTGTGTGTATGTGTGGGGGCTTCCTCAACCTACATGCCTGCATCAATAGGAGCTTGTCATCCTAATCTAGCACCTAACCCATAAGCACTTCTCCATCACCCTCTCAACCTTCCACCACCTCTCCATCACCCTCTCATACCCTCCACCACCTTTCAATCAGCCCTCCGTCACTGCTCTGTCACCCCTCCATCATATTACCATTAACCCTTCACCACCTTTCCATCACCCACTCATCACCTCTCCATCGTAGTTTTACCACTGCACCGTTACCTTTCCATCATTGCTTCATCACCTCTCCGTTACAGTTCCATCACCCCTCCATGATCCTTCCATCATTAATCCTACTGTCTCTCTAGTAGGAGTGTGGTGGATCAGCCAGAAAGCAGCCCCAGCCCCCCAACACCCTGAGCTGCTTCAGGCCCTCCCCAGTCCCAGGCCTTCGTAGAAGAGGGAGAGCTAGCTGCTCCCCTCCTCCCCCTGGCCGATCGGTGGCTGGGGGCCCTATTGGGGCTCACCCCATCTGCAGCTCACCCCATGGTCTTTCCCGAAGGGGCTGTTGGAGAGTTCATATATGCTGGAAATGGTGTTCCTGCGGAAGCAGCTCTTGCCCGTGGCCTTCTCGGTCTGAGCATCAGTGGAAGCTTTGCTGCCAGCCTGTCTCAAGCTGCACATGTTCTCATGAAGCTCCTGGGCCTGGTGAGCACAGGAATGGCTCAGCCATGAGGTATCCCTACACATTCCTGCCAGGGACCTCACACAGGACAGTGTCATGGATGATACGGGTCTTAGTTCATCTAGGGTGCTTCCAAAGGGGGTTTGGTTGTGCATCATTGAGCAGATGTTTGGTCCACTTGTGTTCTCATTATAATCTGCCCCAACCCTCCAGCCCTTCTTGTTTCTCAGTATGACTTTGGCTATTCATGGCATTTTATGATTCCAAACAAACTTTATTAATACACATTTGAAGTCCTTGAGGAATGCCATTGAAATTTTGATGGGGATTGCACTGAAGCTATATAATAACTTAGGATGGTCATTTTGACAATATTGATTCTTTCTATAAACAGGAAAATTTTTCCATATCCTGAGGTTCTTTTCAATTTTATTCATAAGTAGCTTTTGAGTTTTCATGGTATAGGTCTCTTACATTGTTAGGTTGATTCCTTAGTTCTTGACATTTTTGGACAGTATTTTGAGTGGAACAGTTGTTTTAGCCTATTCCTATTAGTCACTATTTGCGCATAGTAATGTGGCAGTTTTCTGTCTGTTGACTTTGTAGCCTACTACTCTGCTGTGGTTTTTTATTATTCGTGGAAGATTTAGCGTACTCTTCAGGATCTTTTATGTATCTTCTCATGACATCTGCAAATAATGATGAATGTATAGAATATGGCACAGAAGAAAAAGTACAAGAGATGATGAAAGCCCAGAAATGGTTTAAAAGAAAGGAAAAGACAAGTGAAATTATGAAAGAAAAACAAGTATTGATACACACACCAGGATACAGTAACAAATTCAGGATATTTTTAGTAAATATTAAGCCAACATTATTACAAAGAAATCAAAATAATATTTATTATATTCTGTAAACAAAAATTGTGCTTTCTAAGTATATCAGAATGATGTTTTCAAACATTTCATTTCTGAGA